TTCAAGTACAATTTATATTTCGAATAGGTACAATTTGATTCAAGTAAATATTTATTTGAGAATATAGACAAGTAGTCGGTTATTTGAATCAATTTTTTTCAGTGTATTGTTTAAACAATGTCTGGAAAAGAATTAAGCAGAACCTAATTTGTGTTTCAATTTAAATCGTCGCGACGTATATTTGGATAAATTTACATAATATGAAATGGTTGTACATATATATATATATGAATTCAACTTTCGTGTTATAATACGTGTGATAATATTCACATCTAGAATTGCAAAAAATGAATTTTTTTTAGTTTTTATTTCAGTATGTAACTTTGTTGTGAGAGCTAAAAATAAATGTATTGATCTAAGTATCTTTCAAATGAAAATAATTATTAATTCAAGTCATATCTCGATAGGTATTGTTCAGCCTATATTGAACAAGAAAAACGTGGTGCTTTGCATTTTGTATATTCAAACAGCTGTAACAAAAGAAAAAGGGTATCTTTCAGTAAACAATTCTTTAAAATTTTTACTGTTGGATTTTTTTTAATAGTTTCAAACAATAATGGGAGAAAAATGTTAGAAAATTCGCACTTCATCACAATTGGAATCCACTTACGTAATTTTAATATTACAAATAAGTTTTTTATTCATTAATTAGATTTTTTATTTCTTTATTAAAAGAAAATTTATTGGATTCAACTAACAAATTACTTGTCTGTTATTAAATAAATATTTACTTGAAACAAATAATTATTATTTAAATCAATTAAATACTGAAATTATTGGTTCGAATATAATTTATTACATTTAAATCAAAATTATTTGATTCAAGTAAATATTTATCTGATAACTCGATTGATAATAGACAAGTAGTCAGTTATTTGAATCAATTGTTTTTCAGTGTCTTGTAAACTATATAAATTATAATTCAATAGAGTATGTGAGCTAAAATATTTTTTTTGTTTCTTATAGGTAACAGGGAAAAAATTCTTCTGAAGAAAAAAATATGTAAAAGAAATTAAACATTATAAATTATGTCGCAAGTTTGTTTAATCAAATTATTAGTCAGGCATGCGAAAATATATTTATCTTCTCGTTTATGATGATTTTGATAAGAAATACAATTTAGACGGAGTATTAAAAAAATCTTGTTCTACTTTTTATGTCACCTTCTTTATTTTATTTCATTATTCTTGTTTTTATTCTTTCCAACACAGTTTTTGTACAATTGAGACTATTATAGCTTCGAAACGGTGCATCACAACAATTTTGGTAAATTTTGTTGTCTCAATTTTATATCCTTAGAAAAACTATGAAAAATTGTTTATTTATGGTTACATTATAATTAATTACAATAAAATATTTAATAATCTCTTAACGACTTCGGAGAAATGTCGCCAATAAAAGCTTCAAGCGTAACCGCAGGCCCAAAGTAACAATGGGGAAAAATATGATATTAATAACCGTGAAATAGTTTTGACTCTTTTTTGCCCATTCCAACTATTCTTTGGCATCATTTGACGCCTTTATTTTGGCGTCACACCGCCAAAGTGGTTAAAAAATAATAAAGAGGGGAGAAAAGTCCTAGGAGTGGGAAGGTACAATGACTCGACTCTTGGATTTACCATGAAATCACTCCCTCTTCTGTTAGTACCTTGTTCTGTTACGATACCATTCAGTTTCAGTTTTACCATGAGCCGGGTTGTTTAAATCCCCAGCTAATTAAAATTAGTTAGCCACTTACAAAATGTTAAAGTAACCCCCTCACCTGTAATATAATTTCATAAAAAAAAGATGATACAAATTTTTGAGAAAGTTCACTCAAAGTCGAAGCCAAAGCCCAAATTGGTGAGTGCCTTTGAGAAATCAAAGACATTTATGGAGAAAAATTTGAAGAAGAAGAACATTGATGAACTCGATACAAGTAGGGAATTTAAAAAAGACGATTCTTACGCAAATAATAAACATCTTTCAATTATTACCGACACTGTATTAGGTGAAGATTACTATAAATACTTCAAACAGTTTAGTGAGTTGAAGAGTTTCGAACCTTTATCGCCAAAAACTTTGAGAAAAAAGAAAGTGAAAAGTAAAGTAAATAACAATGAAAATCAAGTGCAATTTGAAGAAATTGAAGAAGAGAGTAGTGAACAAATTGGTTGTGGATTATATTTCAAGATCAAGCGAGAAATTTTGAAAAGTTTTCGGATGAAATTTGACTCTAGTACAAGGTAAGTTGGAAAAAGGAATGGATAAGGAATGTTTTTTTGAACAAATTAATTAGATATTTCAGGTCCTTTCGTAATAACACTGTATCTGCTATTGTATAAGAAGGATAATGTATATTTAATTATTGGTGATTGGAAATAGCAAAGTAACTACAAGACAAGGTCTCACGTGAAAAAACTTATTTCAATGAATAATTTTACTTGGAAAAATTTTATTGCTACTCAATTTTACCATTCAAGTTCAAATTTGGGTATTTAAATAAAAAGTAGGTTTCTTTTAATACCCTATACACTGAAAAAATATTGATTTGATTCAAATAATCAATTACTTGCCTATTAAACCCCAAATAAATATTTAATTGAAACAAATAATTTTTAATCAAATCAAACAATTTTTATTCAAATCAAATTGGGTTTGAACTTTGAAACAAAAATTCCAGTATTTCAAACAATAATTTCAGTATTTGAAGCAAATATCATTTAGTTGAATAAAATAAAAATTATTTGATACAAATAAAAATAAATATTTACTTGATAATAGACAGATAATCGTTTACTTGAATCAAATTAATTTTTTTTTTCAGTGAAAACTTCAGCTGCTCTTTGGTTCCTTGGTATATCAAGTTAAAAAAAATTCAATAATAATATACATTACTTTCAGATGTACACAAATTAATATTTTAAACTTTATAGGTTCATTTGCGTTTTAATTAAGGAAAAAGAATAATTTTCTAAACAATTACATAAATACAAAAATAAACTAAACTACCTATTAACATTTACATTTCTACAAATTTTTATAAAGAAAAAGTAAACCAACTTTTTGCAACTATTTTAAAATTGTGTAGAAATATGTAAATTTTTGTAAATGGAAACAAAAAAAGTGTCTGCGTTGAATTAGCGTCTTCATAATTAATTTAATGAATGGATTGATATAGAATATCATTTTACAAGACGAATGTTATTTTTATTTAGATTAATGCTGTTACGATTAAATGCATAATTACAAGTCTATCATTAAGATTGTTGGGAAAGTCCATGTTTTTGTAATAAAAGAAATTTGTTTTTACACTAAAATATTGATTTCACAGTATACTCGAGAAACCCCCTGGAAACTGGTAATTCTTCACATAGGGAAATACAGACTGTGACTCAACCGGGTAAATGATAGATAGGTACAGTTGATTATTCCACTAGCAGTAGCGTAATAAGCCACCTGAAAACATGGACTCTTTACATATTTTTAAAAGACGATTTCAATTAAATTTTATTATTTTTTTTATTTATTATTATTAATTATTAGATAATAAAGTTATTAAAAATATTTAAATAAATATTTATAAATATTTAAACATACACTCTAAATTTGAATTAGTAAATTTTACTAATTCAAAAGCAAAAAGTCAGCTACTTATTCAAATTATTTTGACTAATTCAAATTCAGAGAGTACATATTTAAATAATATTTAAAAATATTTAAATAAGTTTTCTGTTTCAATCAAACTTTTTTAAAAAAGTACTAAACTGTATAATGAAATTGTAATTTTTAGTTCGTTTCCACCACAAATTTTTTCAATACCTATAATGAATAATGTTAATAAGTGAAAAAGTGTACCTAATAAAAAAGTTGTTTTTCTGCAGATATCAAATTGAGACAAAAAACGTATCAAAATATAATAGTTGCGAAGCAACGTTTTTATTTTCTTCCGTCGAATGTTGTGAGCGAAAAATTAAAAATAATATTGAAAAATAGAAATAGAAAATAGAAATATTTGTTCATACGGTACTGTAGGGCTTTTTAAATGTGCACCTGAAACATACAGTAAAAGTTCATTTACGTGTGGCGCAGCACGTGTAATGTCCTTCCCGCGCTCATCGGACCTGAACATTGAAGGGACCACGGTTCGTGATTCGAATGCCTCTTTTGTAACTCGTTTTCATATTCCTCTTTAAAATGCACGATTTAAGGAAAGTCTTATGATTTTATTTGTGAAAGTTTTCAGTAATTTCAAAATTCTTTCAATTTACGTACAATATAAAGCGTAGAATTTTAAACAATTTTTCATTATTATAATTATTGACCATAAAAAAATCGTAAATAAATTTAAGACTTAATAGAACAATATTGGACTCATTTTCATAATTATTGTGGTTGCAAATTGACAGGGTGCTTAAATCTCCCCTTTATATGAATAAAGCACTCTCTGTCGCGTGTGGAGCAGGTGGTTTTTTGTCCCTTAATTCAGGTGAATAAATTCAAATAAATTATTCTAATGCTTTCAATCATTATGATGGTATTTTTTACCGTCGAATTGAGTATTTATTTGTATACAAGGGTATTAATAAAATTTTTATTATATTTTTATAATTTTATAATTAAATTTACTTATAATTATTTATTTTACATATCTAATAAATATAATAATTAATGGAATTTATTAAAAACAAGTATCCGATGCTTTTGGTAAAATAAGATAAAAAATGTGTAATATAAATAATATTTATTTTGTACAATATAATTTTTGTCGAAGACTTCGAATACTGAATTTTTGTCTAATTTAAAATTTTGTTCTTAATTTTAGAATTTCTTGGTTAGTATAGTATATACATTCTTTTCACACAGATAAGATATAGGATTTTAAATATTACAAACTTCTAAAGTTGAGATAAATAATTCTTATTGCGAGCAAAAGAGGAATTTAAAAATATATGTAATTTGAATATTTTTTACTTTATAAAAGTTCTATATTTTAATTAGATAATTAAGAAGTAGACGATTTTATTCACTGTTAAAAATACATATTTGATTCGAATAATCGATTACTTGTCTATTGTCAAATAAATATTCATTTCTACTAAATAATTTTGACTTGAATCAAATAAATGGTGGTAAATAATGGTAAATAATTTGCTTTAATACATTTGTTTTAACTACAGAAATTATTGGTTCAAATTCAGTTTACATATTTGATTCAAATAAAAATGCTTTGAGTCAAGTAAATATTTATTTTCTAATAGTCAAGTAATCGGTTATTTAAATCAAATAAATTTTCTTTCATTGTTATTGAATGGGAACCAAAATTCTTAAATTTAGAATAAAATTTTTTGTAGTAGGCGAAAATTGAATGAATTTTGATTATTTACAATGCAATGCGAATTTAAAATAGACGTCACAATTTTAGATCAACTTTGAACAAATTGTGACATCATAATGGTTCAAATGCCCTTAATGCTAAAAATTAATATCATTATGCACCTTTTTCTAACTTTTACAAAAATTTTTAAAAATTCGGGTTTTTAACAGTAGGTGACTTTTAGGTCACACGAACTACTTTATACAACATAAGATCTTCTGCCAAATTATGCTTTCAAAATATTTTGGTTGAAGCTTCCTTCGAGCTTTCTCACTGCATTTTTATTTTTATTTTATTTCAATGTAAGACTATATTTTACAAAATGTGAGCTCATCTAATAATTATTTTACGTGACATTTCATAAAGTTTCACGATCACGTGACCGTTAACATATAAGTCACATGCTGCTTATAGAGACCCATTTTTGATTAGATATACGTATACTCTCTAAAACAGCGAATCATCAGTGAAATTAAACTGAAAATCAGTGACTATTCTGAAAGTAAAAAATAGAAAAAATACTTTCAGTAAAATCTAACTGGAAGAAAGTTAAAATTGATTGAAATATCAGTCATTTTTTACTGATTAGACAATTAAAAATAATTTTCAATATGTTGCAACTTGAATTTAAATTTTCTTCTTCTTGTTCTCAAATGACTTGAGGCATCACTATTTGCAGTCATTTTCTAAACATTTTCTAAATTTTAACAATCAGAAAAATTTTAGTGATTGAAATGGTAAGAATGGAGTCACAGATTCTCAGTGAAATTTCACTGACTTAGATTTAGAGATGAGATAATCAGAAGAACATTAATCAATGTAACATGAAATTATATATTCGCTATTTTTCGAATCCATTCTCTATGGGTTGCTAGTCGCGTGTAAACTCCCGGAATTTGTGGTTGTGCACAACCATATCCGAAAGAAACAATTCCATAAACAGTGTGCCTGTCCCCAAGTGGTCCTCCTGAATCACCTGTACAAGCATCAACACCACGACCTCCGTAACAAATGTGCAAATCACTTTTCAAAACTTCGGGATATACTGAAAGGCACTTTTCATGACTGACGAATGGTATTCGAGCTGCCATTAAATACGTTGACACTAGTGCTTTTCCCTTCTAGAATTAATTATTGGAAAAATTATCAAACTATGTCCATTCCGAAAAGAAATTTGTTTATTACTATTATACACCCTTAAGGTGTTTCTCAATTTGATATCCTTTAGAAAAACTGTGCTTAATTCAATTAATTATTGAAATTATTATTCAAATTATGTAAATTATTATTCTTTACCTTCTTCAAAACTCGAACTCCAGAAGATGCTCCCGAAGTTCCCCAGCCCGAAACGACAAGTATCGGGGGATCGTAGTCTAAATCCACAGGCGGTAATTTTGCCGGTTGTATGAAATAGGAAAATCTGAATTTTGGCGAGACTTTGAAGAGGGCAATATCGTAGAGTGGAATTTTATCGTATAATAAAGAAATGTCACGAACAACAACTTCCGTCACCCGGTGTATTGATCCACCTCTTTGAAATTGATCCGATCCTGCTCGAATTGCGTACTGTTTCGGGTCCATGATTTTGCTAAAATTTGATAAATGGCCCAATTAACCCCTTCACACTGTAGTAATGTAGTAAAGATTAAGTTTTCATGACGAAAAATGGTAAAACAAATTTTTTTTAAACCCTTCAATGCTTGAGGTCGCTCATTACGAATTCGTTTTTCAAAATCCAAAATGGCGAATCCAATATGGCCCCGAGTAACAATTTCCAGGAAAATTGGACTATTTTTCAAAAAGTTAACCGTTAGCTTAAAAACCATCGATCGGAGTAGTTTTTTTTATCAGTTTAGCTTCTTATTTTTGTTCTCGAATTACAAAATTTTATTACAAATGCGAAATTTTTAATTATTTCAGTTAAAACTTTCGCTATTCTAGAGAAAATTATCGCTGTTCCAGGTGAAATATTTTGTAATTTTTTCAAAGAAAAATATCTTTTTTTTAAAGAGTTATTCGCTATATAAAAAAAAAACCAATTTTCCCACTGCTGCAGTTATTGCGGCCTTCTGAGTGACTGAAATCAAAAAAACCAAAAAGATTATTAAACTAGAAGATATTTGCCGTACAATGAGGCTCCAGTTTTTTGATTGGATGAAAAATAAAATTTTGGGATGCCAAAAACCATCGGATTTTTTTGGCGAAATTTAAAAGCTTTTTCAAAACTCCGCCATTTTGTTGCAATTCAATATTTTTTGACATCCGAGGGATCCGAGGGTCATTGTACGGCAAATATCATCTAGTTTAATAATCTTTTTGATTTTTTTGATTTAGGTCACTGAGAAGGCCGCAATCACTGCAGCAGTGGGAGAACTTTTTTTTTCGCATACTCAGGAGATAGCGAATAACTTTTTTAAAAAAAAGATATTTTTTTTAAGAAAACTACAAAATGTTCACTATTTATACAAATATACATGTACAAAACTTTAAAAAAAATTAGAAGCAATAATTTCCCTGAAAAAAATTCCTAAAAATCACCGTTTTTTTCAGTCACTCACACTAGGTGTGCCCCTTGAAACTCAAAAGCAGTTTCAATCAAAACTTCTGGGGGTTAAATGGTTTTATAATTTTTTATTATTTTTAGAGTTGTGCAAAAAGCTCGATCGAGTATTTCAAGCTTTTCGTTTTTCTAGCAGAGCTGAGCAGAATCAATTTGAACTTGAACCAAATTCCATCCGACACGTGCAGTATTAAACCTAAAATAATTTCGAGCACTCAAATATTTTTGAGTAACTAAAACTCGAGCCTGGCTCGAGCTCGACCATGCTATTCGAGCTTTTTGCACACCTCTAATTATTTTTAATTTAATTTAATTTAATTAATTACAATATTCGTATGTTTTTGAGCTCGTTGAATACGAACCTAAAGTAAAAATTTAAAAATTTAAAATGTCTGCTTCAAAAAAAAAAAAAAATAGAAAAATATTTTGAATAATGTTGAAATTGTTAATTTGAATTTTAAAATAGAAGAATATTAACTATTTAGTAGATAATATTTAGATACTTACAAACAATGCTGTGCAGTTAATCCCCATTCTTCCGACACAATAAAAGCACCACATTGAAAGCCCTTTTGTCTGAGATGAACAGAAAGCTAATTTTTGAAAAGCATCATTTACTTGAAAAATGAATAAATTTTACTTTAAAAATAATAAATTTTTCATTTACCATGTACGGTCGATCAATGATTGATAATCTCTGTCCTCCGACGATTTTAGCTTGTGCATGCGAGATTGTCTTGTTTTTATGAAGTTTCAGTGCACTCGCGCAAACAATGATTATTTCTTCAAATATGAAAATGACATAAAAATCCCATAATTATTAAGAAGTAGATTTAATATTTATTTATTTAATTTTTAATGATGAAAACATTTTAATTTTCTTATCACTTTTGAAATAATAAAAAGAGTGTAATATTATTAAAAGTGCTTACCGAGAATCCAGACGAGACTGAAAGTATTCCTCATTTTCAAAGTGATGTTTTACATCTGAAGATTTTTTCCACCTCCACCTAGTAAATAAAGGCCCGGTTTCATTCTTTTAAAAGTGGGATAAACTGACAAAGAAGTGTCTAGGGAATACAAAACACCAACAAAAGTTCTATGTATAATATAATCTTTATGAAGAGTCCAATAGGTAACGATAATTTATGGGTCACGATATACGCGTTTTTTATGAATCATAAAATCCACACTTACAAATGCTACTTTTCAAAGTAAGATTAACTATTAACTAAAAATAATAACACTGAAAAATTGTAGGTCACTGTAAAAAAATGGATTTTTTAAATACATTTTTAAGTTCTAATCACTGTAATTTACCTTTCTCTTCATTTCAATTTCAATTCTCTTCAATTTACATTGTTTCATTTTTTCTATTTTCTTTTATTTCTATTTTTATATTATTCTCTTTTCAGTTATTTGTTTTAATATAAAATAGAAAAACATATTTTTTAATTATATTGTATATTTAAGGGGGGTTTTTTAATAAAAAAAATATAAAATTGACTTCTACCTACCTTTGTACAACTTTCGGTTCCTAACTGATAGCAATTGTGTCACTAACTGAAAATTCTCTGGAATTGAAAAATCTGTAGTGTCCTCATTTACTTGCATGATATCTCTAAACTGCAGAGATTTAGTTTTTTTCTGATAATAATGGTTCTAGTTTTGAAATAAATGGTGATAACAATTATGAAGGTAGTAAATTAATATGTCAGTCAATTTAGATATGTTTAAATCTCACTGAAATTTTTTAAACGGAAAATATTTTTCTCGAACGAAGCAAAATTGACAAATATTATATTTTCTCTGTTAAAATTGACAGTTGTTTTATGCACTCAAAAAAATAAATCTTAAATTCAGCCCAGTTTTAACTAAAACCGTTTACATTAGAATTAATTTTTATCTGAATTTTAGTCTGAAATATATGATTTTAAATCTTAAAATTGATTTAATCTAAAATCATAAAAATAAGCTATTCTCTAAATTTGAGTTAGTAAAACTAAAAATTTTTGATAATTTGAATTAGTGACTGACTTTTTGCTTTTGAATTACTAAAATTTTACTGACAAATTAGTAGAAAATTACTATTTATAAGCAGAATTTACTACTTCAAAAGCGAAAATTCAGGCACTCAAATTATTTATTAAACATTTTTATTGGTTCAAATTTAGAGAGTAATTTTTAATCATATTTTGGTTTTAACTTATTAAGATGTAAACAGTCTCAGACTTTCTTTTTTCTGTATGGACTTAAATTTACTTTTCTTGTAGTAAAATTCTAATATACAAATAGTAAAATTAAACCTGTACATTTTATTCAGCAAACAATACAAAATACATTTTTAAGATATTTAAACAAGAAAACTTTTTCAACGAAGAAGTATGCTAGAATTCAGAAAATTTGGATCATCTAAATTAGAATTGTAATAAAGAAATCTTTTTTTTCGATTTGTGAATTTTAGTGCAGGTTCTTTTTCTTTTTGATCTTCTTCTTCTTCTTCTTCTTCTTCTTCTTCTTCTTCTTCTTCTTCTTCTTCTTCTTCTTCATCAACTTCTTGTTCATGATCATCAATATTTTCATTTTCATTTTCGTCATTGTCATTTTCATTTGGATCTAGTTCTGGAATGCCTTCATTTTCCACTGGAAATTGCTCATTTACATGTGAAATATTAATATTCTGTGAAATTAATAATGTAACTGCAGAAAGTGTTTCAAGAAACATGAAAACCAATAAAATATTTGTAAGTCCTCCATTAAAAGCTGATTTATTCTTTGACAAATGTTGATCTCGAAGATGCTTCATCGTTCGCAACATGTTGTCAAAAATGTCTTCATTTGACATTTTCGAATGTAAATACGGAAATTCTAAAACAAAGTATTCAATTTCAATATAAATGTTAATTAAATTAAAATGGATTGTAAAGAAAGTAATGCTATCATTTTACTGTAAAATGCATAAAATTAGGGTTGAAACAACGCAACGTTACGATTTTTCTTGACTTTTTTGTACAGAATTTTTTTTTCTAATCCTCATAAAAAATTCAAGAGTTAAATTATAAAAAATTGATTATAATTAATAACCTAAAGAGCGAGTTATTCTAAAATTTACTAATTCACTGAGAAAAATATTAAGTAATTTTTACTACTTTTATACCTAGTAAAACATTTCTGGTAACTTTTACTTCTTTCGTAGTAAATTTTGCTGCGTTCGAAGTTCGTTTATCGTTTTAAAATTGAGAAAGTTTGTGAAAAATTAATATTTTTTTGGAACTATTTTATAAATAAGAATACGACATAAAATAATAATTTAAAAATTACCTTCTTGGATTACGATAAGACTTTTAGAATTCTTTTGATAATCAAAGGAAACAGACTTGTGAGTGGACAATTGACTGTCGCGATCAAAAATTGCTCTTATTAATCTAGACAAATAAATCAATATCGAACCAAAAAGTGTCTGATTCGATTGGTTAGAAAATGCCTTCTTTAACGATTTCTCCAAATAAGTAGGAATTTGATTGAATGCAGCAACAGTATTTAATAATTGTTCAACTACTCCTTTTCTGTAATTATCAAACGATTTTGTCACTTTCTGTAATGTTTTCAATAAACCAGGATTCTTCTTCGAAACTTTCTTAAGCACACTCCTCTTTTTTTGTCCCTCTCGCCAAATGGAAATATAATCACAACAATTTCGAACCAAATTTTTCGTCACATGGTTTTTTGAAACCACTTTTGAAAATCGGTTCGCTATTTTTAATAAAGAAGACCCACTCTCTATTTTTCTACCAATAAAACTTTCAATTATGTACTTCACTTGATTTTTGGTACTTGATTTTTTCCCATTAAAATCACATTCGAATCGTAGGTCTTGTGTTTTACACCTTGGTTCTAGAATTCGTAGACTTTTTATCCAGTCTTTCGAAAAAGATTGTTTCAAACTTTTCAAAATTTTGTAACTTTCTGACGACTCTTGTGAGGACTTTATCGGAATTTGATGCTGTATGCACGAATAAACATTGTTTAGATCGTTAATACATTTCTTATAGCCACCAGTTATTATTTTGTCAATAGAATAGCAGATAGTTTCCGTTGCATTGAAAACACGATTTTTCGGAGGTGCTTTAATTTTCTTTTTCAAATATTCCACTACTGCTGTTGGAGAATACGAATACAGGTATTTTATACTTTTTCTGATATTTGTATCGTTAATTGCACAGTCCACGTAGACAAAAAAGTCGCTCGTAAAAATGAGAAAATCCATAATTTGTAATTTTGGGGATTTAAAAAATTGAGATTGGTGTTTTCCGAAGAGGAATTTCGTACCGATTTCGTTGCCCTCTATAATAAAGTCTGTAAATTCGGTTGCAACTGTTAATCCATTTTCAAGTAGGTTACTTATCAGAGTATCGTTTCCATCAGGTATTGGCACTTTTGTAACGCTGGAATTATTACTTTTAAAAATTCTTAATTTTCTCCGAAAAGCTCGTATATTTTCGACGACAACTTGAGTGTAAATGTTGACTGATTTTTTGAAATTACTTTTAAAGGAAGTCTTCCGAAAGTCCTGTAATAGGCCTTTTTTTAGAGGATCTATTAGGGTTAATATGAACGATTTGACTGATTTTTCTACTTCTGCTGCAGATGTTCCAAATATGGCATTTTTATCTGTTTTCAAAAATTTGGCGTTGTTTATTTTCTGATTCTGAATATCGTTGAGTTTGCTCTTGACAAGAGCAACGGTAACTGAAATATTAATTTTATTTTTATTAATACAATCATCTAAGGATATAAATGAACAATTTCTTAAAATTTAAGCTCACAGTTTTTCTAAAAATATCAAATTGAGACAATTTGGTTTTAATTTGACATCCTTAGAAAAGTTGAATTTTTCTTGAAGAAAAATAAAGATTTTATAAGTAAATAATAAATAAAATACACAGAAAAAATAAAGTTTGAAATCGTTTACAACTTTGAGCCAAAATGATTGAAAAGTAGCCTATTTTTAAATTTAAAAGCATAAATTAAGTCATAACTTTGAGACTTGAAATCATTCACTTCAGATTAAAATTTAGTTAAAATTCTTCTAACGTAAAGGGTTTTAATGAAAAGTGGACTGAAAGTGAGATTTATTTTTTTACTGTGTAAATTGTGAATAGTGTTCTCACCCAGCTGAATAAGTAGAACGAATTTTAGACGATTCATTTTTGTTATACCACTAGTTTCTAACTTTTGCTTCATTTTATATGTAAGACAACATCAATTCTGTCAAATTTTTGTGAAATATTGTTTCTAATTTTTATTACTCGCATATTCATAAATAAGATTATCTTATCCTAAGAGTGATGTTTAGTAGCGTTTGGAGGCTTTGGAATTTTTTCAGTGAAAATCCACTTAAATAAAAATGAGATATTTTTCAAAAATCTCGCAAAAATAATCAGATTTATAAATAAATAAATAAAAATAAGTATAAATTTAGTTTTTTTATCATTTATCATTCTTTTATCATTCGAATAAGAAGATTATGAAACAAAAACCAATCAAATTTAATAGCACTATAAAAAATCTTACATAGTAAAAAGAAAATCTTATTTTAAGGCACGAAAGCTGCCTTAAATTAAGATGCAACATTTTTAAGACCGTCAATGTTGAATTTACGCACGTTTTTCGTATCCTTTAACATTATAGCAGACAGTGTTGAATTTAAGGCAGCTCTTAAATTAAGATTTACTTTTTACTGTGTAATTTAAGATCTATCAATCTTATTCTCTAAATATGAATCAGTTAAAAATAACTGATTAAGAAGTAAAAAGTCAGTCACTAATTCAAATAGAAATATTTCTACTGACAATTAGTTAAAAATAACTGAATTTAAAAAAAATTCAATTTAATTTTTTCAAAAAAAAATTAATTCTACAAAATTGTTGATTAAAGTATGAAAAATTAAAATTTTCTTAAAATTTTAATTTGCAAACTTTTCAAAATTCAATTATTGCTAAAATTTCATGCTATAAATGTTTTTAATATTATTCAATTATTATCTCAAATTATAACTGAAATTCATTTTTAAATCAATTTTTATTAGAAAGATAAATAAATTCTTTCTAAGAACTTTATTTGAAATTTTTGAAAATAATTGAATTCCTGCTAAAAATTTTGTTATTTTTTAAAATAATTGAATTTCTGTGAAGAATTTTGTAAAAAATTGTTTAAATAATTTAATTCTTACTAACAATTTTGTTCTTTATGAAAATAATTGAATTCTTTCTTTTCAAGAACTTTATTAAAAGTTTTGAAAATAATAGAATTTTTGCGAAGAATATTTATGATAATTTTTGAAAATAATTGAATTCCTGCTAAAAATTTTGTTATTTTTGAAAATAATTGAAATTTTGCAAAAAATTTTATTAAATTTTTTGAAAATAATCAAATTACGGACTTTACGGACCTTTTTTTTTTAAAAAAAAACTGACTTTTACGGACATGAAGCAAATTTACGGACCTTTACGGACTTTCTTTTTACTGTAAATAAGTTAGTATAAAATAATAAAAAAAAATACACTATTTTTGAAAACAAAATATTTAAAATGTGCTTTTGTTGACAGACAATTGATTTAATTACATACAACAATAAAATATCAAGAATTATGATATATCATTTGTTTAAAATGTTAATAGTGGCGATGATGATGAAGATGATGTCACACTGCATGAATGTTATATTCTAAATCTGCTCTGAATCACAATGTATACTTTTTGATTAATTTTCAATTAACATTATTTTATGAATGCAGTTTTCATTTATAAATATTCGTTACTAAAAGTTAATAGAAAAAAAAATAGTTTCAAAAATATTATTTAAGTTAACATTTTACAATTTATTTATTTATCTCGTAAAAGTATTTTAGAATTTTATTTTTCTCCTTTCTTTGGTTGTGAAAGACCAGGAGGTGCCGCCACCTGATTCGAAAGTTCGAAACACGTTGAAACTCTGACTGGCGGATAAGGAGCTTACCTACTAGCAGTTTAGTGATTTAGTCTGACCTCCCGGTGTGGGTGACAGCCGGTATTCTTGTCCTCAACAGCTTATGAAACTTTTTGTCCGGTATTTCGAATTTAGTGACATTTTTTTGTACGTTTCCTTAAATTATTATCCAAATGAACTTTGACACTTGAAGTAAAAGTGAAATTCAACAAATTGAACGAACCAATAGCAAGTGACACACATAATATTTTGATACTTGAAAAACGAGATAGGTATGTCATCGTACAAAAGAAGAACGTGACGTGCATGAATTATTAGACTGGATGCTGTTGTAGAAAATATAAGTGTACCACAAAAGTTATTTAGTAATTTTAAACAATTAGTGTGAACAATAATACTCCCAACAAAATGGATGAAGAAGTTATGTGGAAAAACTTTTATCATAAAATTGTCGAAGAAAAGGAAGAAAAAGCAAAAGAAGAAATGCACAAAACAGATCATGAATTAAGGTAGTAATTGAGAATATTTTATGTTATTCGTGGTACATTTTCACTTTCTTTGCGTTATTTAAAATATAAGGTGATGATATTTATATCTTCTTTAAAGTGAAAAAAGTTTGATAAATAATGTTTGTTGTATTAAAATTATTAATTATTAAACTAAATTTATCAAAAATTGTTAATGAGACACATCTAACTAATGTTGAAAAGTAAGTGAAATATTTTGCAAATAGCGACTGCAATCAAGGTGGCAATAAATAGGGTATTAGCCTCACTTTTAATTATACGAGATAAATCTTGTGTCAATAAATAACTTTCTTCATTATGCGGACAAAATCTTTACAAGTAATCTAATGTTTGTCTGATTGGAACCGACAACATCGATTATATATTGAAAGATAATTGTAAAATATATAAACAACAAACATATATAACATTTATACATATTATACAATACGTACTTAAAAATATACATTTTATTTGTTCGCCGCAATTACAAAGATTGCCACATAATTATAAGTATATTCAATTATATTTTTTAGAAGTTATTTTAGACATTTTATTTTTTTTATATGAGATAACTTTTTATGAAGTTATTTATTTTTTAATTTTTATTAATTTCCTATGATAGCTTTTTGCTTTTTACTACGAATATAATCATAAAATATTTATTTGCATCAGTGATTATTATGATTCAAAATTTATATTGTATGTGTGATTATATTTTCGCATCGATAGGTATAGCTTGTGAAGGTCAGGCGCGATTTTATGATTCATACATGGAGAAAAAGGAATCTAAAAATCTTTTTGAGCTAAAGATTATAAGAAAGTAATATTTCCGATGTATAATAGATTTTAATTTATTGTCATAATATTTAATTGAAAATATTTTTTTAGCATATAAATTAAAAATTTTCATTAGAAAAAAATTGATAAAAACAAAAAAAAATGTTCTTCGAATCCTTTCACAGATAGATTATAGTAATTAAGAATAATTAACCCTAATTTTAACTAAAATTAGGAACAATCTCTAATTTCGGATAATAAATCGACCGAAATTAGACGTGAAATTAGTATACGTGCTGGAACGAACATTAAGATTTTTTTTTATCCTTCTTCGAGGATTTCCTTTCTTTTTTTCCACGTTTCGGTAAATTTTCTTAATTATTTGTTCGAGAAAAAAATCTTGAGTCATTTTACAGGTTTTCTATATAGTTTTTTTATGATGATCAACTCCGTTTAAACTGCATTCCATTAATGATAGTTCTTCATGTTCACAAGCAATATATAAAATAGAAAATTTATTTCTGTAAATTAATGTTTCTTTTGAATTTATGATTTCAAAACTTAGTTTTATCCAATTTTACACAGGAAAAAAGTGTTAAAACTACACGCAACATTTTTAACAAAATAAAATAATAATAATAATAATAATAATAATAATAATTTTTAACATTTTCAACACTGAGTGATTTTAACACTACATTGGTGTTAAAATAACAATAGAGTGTGTTAAATTAACACTGGAGGGTGTTAAATTAATATACATTTTAAATGGGGTTAAAATAACACCAAAATTGTGTTAAAACAACACCATATGAAAACTACACGCAACACATTTAACACTTATTTTTTTCTGTGTACAAGACTTTGTAATATATAGCAATAAAATGTGAAAATTTTCATGTAAATCTTATTGTTATTGTCTATTGAAAAATATTAGACATAACAAAGACGCTGAGAGTGAAATTAAATTCTAATTTATTCATTTAATTAATTGCCCTGTAAATAATAATCATAGGTTTGTTACGAAATAAATAATGAAAACTTCTCATGGAAAATACACGCACTGATCAAGCGGATTTCCCGTTTAAGATATGAAAATAATTAGAAAGGAAAAGGAAAATTTTCTTTCTCTCAAAAGATAAAAAACTAAGAAAATAATTATTCCAATCTTTGATTTTCTCTATTCACAATTATTACCAGAGAAAGAATAAAGGAACATTTCTTGAAAACTACAGTAAATGCTAATAGAATAGTATTATTTTTATTGACTATAACAGGACATATTATGAAAATAAAAAGAGTGCGCAATAAAACAATTTTGTTAGTATCGGTAAATTCGACTCCTCAGTATGTGTAGAGTATAAAATGTGGACTTTAAATGAATAGTCTTGTTTCTACAATTTACTGTTATCGGGGAGATTTTCAAGTTCAGAATTTTAACGCTCAGAACTACATATGGGTTTTTGAGTAAATAATTTATTATGCAGATTTAAAAACGTAAACATTATTGTAAACAAATGTGAAGCAACAAACTTATCAAGGTACAAAGGGTAAAAATTGAATTTAAAGAGTTTAAAACGTTAATAATTTCTCAAATCACTTTAGTGTTAAATTTTTTTATTACGAAGAAAGTTGTCTGTTATAATAAGGTAAGAGTCCAACAAATCCAGTTCTTCATATACAAAATTATTTAGAACTAAAATTAAAAATAATTTTATCATAATTTGGTAATTTATATTAACAAAACGAAAAAATTACGAATCATATTATATTCATAAATATATAAACTTTTAGTTTTCTACAATGGAAAAAAAGTTCATTTAATTCCAATAATAATTTGACAAACTTTTTGCTTTTTTTATTAGTAAAATTTACTAATAATGTAATAATTAATAGAAATTACTATTTATTAGTGAAATTAATTGAATTTACTAATTCAAAGCAAAAAGGCAGAAGTAAATTCAATTATTAGTAAATTTTACTAATTCAAAAGCAAAAAGTCAGTCACTAATTCAAATTATAGTAAACATTTTTACTAATTCAAATTTAGAGCGAATAATTTCAGTATTTGATACCAATATTTTAATTTAATAAATTAAATTAATAACAAATTTGATAAATTTAATAAGTAATTAATTTTCATTTAATTTATTGATTTAAAAAAGAATCAGTTGATATAAATATTTATTTAATATTTGTATATAATAGATGATAGATATTAAATGATAGTTAATCGTTTATTTGAATAAAATTTTTTATAATTAAGAAATTCATACAGTATAAATGGGCAAAATTAATAAAGAGTTCTTGTTGAAAGTGTCTCTTGGATTTATTGAATTATTATGAAAAATTATTACTCAATAATCAGCATCTTTCTTAGAATTTAATATCCCAAGACGAGATAAGAAATAACTTGAAATCAATAACTTTATGATGGATATGTTTATATAATGTAAAAATAGGTAATATTAATAATAAGAAAATGTATTTTAAAAAATTCGTAATTTTTCCATATGCATGTGTAAAATATTTGTCAAATTTTTATAATTTATACGTGTACAAAAATAAAACAGGCATTCCTGTAGAATGTTTGCTCGACTTGTTCTGCGTCACAGCGGGTAATCAATATACAGGGGCAATAAAAGTAAAATAAAATTTGCATAAATCCACTTTTTTCCTCAATAATAATAATAATAATAATAATAATAAAGACAAGAAACTATTTTTAAAATTAATTTTTAATCCTTTTATTCTGAAGGTTTTTTTTTATAACCGAAAAGAACTTGAGAATAAAAGAATATATATTTTTTAGAAAACAGTTTTATATTAATGTCCTGCATATCTTATTTAAATTTAAAATTTCATTTCAACGAAAGTGAACGAAAGATTTTTTTTTATAAAAATATTCAAGTTGCTGTGACATTTAGTTAAAAAATTTAGAAGGTTAACACAATTATATGAATATATTGCTACTTCATTTCAAGATATGTTTTCCGCTTATTCTCCCACTTAGTAAATCAATTAACACAATCTTGAAGGTAGTCCTGCAACGTAACATGTTGTTCAGTCCTAGAAAACTATTTGCCTAGTAATATCCTGTGATGTGAAAAATACAGTTTTTAAAAAATTTAATTTAAAAAAATCCAATTTAAAAAAATGAACAGGTGTTATTATTATCTGAATTTAATACAGTTCCTTTTTCTGATTAAAACAAAACTTTTAATAATATTATAGGTAGTATAAAACTGTTTTCAATAAAATATTAATGTTTGTGTCCGAAAATCCATATTTTCTATAAAAATAGAGAAAAAATATTTTCGAAAACCTTTTCATAAAATGACGAATTAAGTTGAGATTTAAAAACAATGTACAAGCTAATAAAATACAAGTGATTCTTTTATTCAAGTTTTACTATAGAAGGGGAATGGAATTTTTTAATGTAAAGCATGACTTTTTTTAACATCGCACTGAGCTTCCGTCTCTTCTTAAGATCAGTTGAATTGAAATAATATCGCAGAAAAAATATTTAAAGTCCCTTTCACTAAATCTTATTTTACATGCAATTAGATAAAATTTAAAAAAAAATGCCTCTCACATTTTCATGGAAAACATTTTGGAAATCCAGTGAAAAACAAAGCAGAAGAAAAATGGCTCATTTTCCAAATTTGGATGAGAAACATCCTTACTTGGCCATAGCAGCAATTCGTATGAGTGAGAAACCGGAAGATTACAAATTTACGGCTGCAAAGTTATATTGGAAACTTGCCGCTTTCCATTTTATTCATAATAAAAGCAGGTGATGTGTAAAAGTGCATTTCTTTTGGTGCTGGAAAATTTGTGAGTGTCTGGAAAATTATATAGTAAATACGGAATGATGTTGTGTCACATAACATTGTTATGTTTTGAAGAAAAATTTTGTTTGCGCATATATTACTCAGTAATTACTTTTTAAGTACTTGCAAAATAAATACTTGAATTTGCGAGTAATTTATATACTTGCAATGATTTATGTACTTGCAATTGTATACTTACAATCTTCAGTGTTTGCTACCTGAATCTATAAAATAATTATATCTATTAGACAAAAAAATTAATATTTGGATTAAATAAATTTCCAAATTAAGCATTTGGGAATTTTTTTGTATTATCTATTTGTTTTGCGTCCTTATCGCTATAAATATATGTTTTGATTCAAAAAACTTATATAAGTCTTGAAATAACTCATTTTAAAACAAGTTTTTCTTCAAGAGTTTTGTCTTCAAATTAACTTCCAGGAATGCATTCTTTTGTTAATTTTAATTGTCTTGTTGCGCTTTGCACGTTCACAGTTAAAATTAAATCTTATTTTAAGATAAAACTGAAATTAATTGAGTCGCGAGAATAAGATTTGTCCTAATTTAAAGTTAAACTTGTGCGAAAATAAAATGTTTACTTATCTAATTTTACAGAGAACGTGAAATTTAGATATAGTTTCAGCACATATTAGAAGAGCTAAAAGCTTCCAACTTAAAATAAGACTCCATTCTTCCCTTAAAATGAGATTTTCTTTTTACGGTGTTTAAATTCTGAAATTTACGTATAAAACTGAAAAAGAACTTTATTTTATTCCAATAGTTGATTATAGTTGTCTATTATCAAATAAATATTTACTCGAATCAAATACTTTTTATTTTAATCCAATAAATTGTATTTCTCTCTAAAAGTATCAAATTGATGTAAAAAGTTTGGCTCCATTTTGTGATTTGATACACATTTTTGGTATCAATTCGTTGCAATTTGATACTTATGAGTTAATAGTGAATTCAAAAGCAAAAATGTCAGTTACTAATTCAAATTAGTAAACATATTGTTGCTATTTCAAATTTAGAGAGATGAATCAATAATTTAAATTTTTAAATCAAGAATTTCAATTCCACCAAATAAATATTTATTTCATAATAGACAAGTAATCGATTATTTGAATCAAATAAATTTTTTTTAATGAACTATATATTTAGTTAGGTACACATAGAAAAATTTGTTGTTTGAAACAAAGAAATCGTTTTTTTCAATCATTTTTTAAGTTAAAGATAACATTTGTTTGTATTAAAAAAAATTTTATTTACTTTTACGAAAAAATTAATTTTTAAAATGTTTCGAATTAACGAAAGTTTTTCTTTAACTGATAATATTTAATCTAAAGAAAAATGTTTTTGAAACAAATAAGCTGATAATATTTAAAGAAATTATTTTTTTCTTGTGAATTAATTTGAATCAAAGAAATATTTCTTTTAGTCAATAGAGAAAAAGGAAATAATTTCTTTAACCCTTTGAAGGGCGGTGGGACGTATACGTCCCACCTTTAAAATCCTCAATATCTTTGACGAAAATTAATATTTTTGAGTCAAATTTAGTGCGTTTTCTTCAGGAAGAATAGGGCTTTAAAAATATGTAACCTAGATCATGTTAAAAAAATTCCTATAGTTTAAAAAAATTCATAAATTATTGTTAAAAATCACGATTTTTTTAAACATTTTAAAATCGACTAAAAATTGTTACTCGGGGGTTTTTGGGGTCGCTGATTACGAATATGACATCAGTTTTTAAAAATTCAAAATGGCGGATCCAATATTATATGTCAGATGACAAATGTAAAAATTTATTAGATTGTCACGAAACTTGTTATTCGAAGGTTGTTGTAGTCCCTGTTTACCAATGTTTAGTTTATTTTTAAATTTAGATTGTGGGTTAATAATTAGCGGAGAAATTTTTAAGTCAGTGACTTCGAAAATTTCCAAATAACAATTTTTAAGTAAATCCAATTAATTTAAAACAAAATTGACCGCTATGTTAGATCCGCCATTTTGAATTTTTAAAAACTAACTTCAAATTCGTAATCAGCGACCCCAAAAATATTAAGACATGAGTTGTAAAGAAAATCCGTCTATATGAATAATGTGCCCCTCAAAGGGTTAAATCTAAGAAGTTTTTTTTGACCCGATAATACTGCACTTTCTTTGAATCAAACAAAAATTCTTTGAAAAAAGAAGAAAATAAATAAAGATTTAATTCTTTCATAGTAATTTGTGCATTGTTATTGGGTCAAAGATAAAATTTCTTTAATTTACAGAAATGATTTAATTATACTTTTTTTCGTTGACTAAAAGAAATATTTTTTTTATTCGCAAAATAAAATCACAAGAAGCAAATAAATTTTCTTTTTGTGTTTGTTTAGATTTGTTCTATTATTTGATTAACTTGTCATGTTTCTTCGTCTCGTTTGAGTACTAAACAGTACTAAAATTTATATTTGGTAAAAAAGTACTCATCATAAAAATTTATAGGAGTAATTAGTAATAGTAATCAATTGTAATAAATAGGTAATTTCGAATCGCACGTATTTGTTACAGATTACAAGAAGCGGATGGCGGTTTCTTTGAAAATTTGGGTACACTTCTTGCTGAAAAAGTTCGAGCTCAACAACTCGAGGAGGGACCAATTCCAGAGAAGAAGGATTTAGCTGTAAACAATAAAGATGAAAAGGAAGAAGCTCTCAGCGATTCCGATAGTGTTCTGGAAGGAACAGAAGCATTATTGGAGAGTGACAGCGATAGAGATGAAACGGAAATTGTTCAAAATTTCATGATTGAATCCATTGGATGGAACGTAAGTAAATAAAAAAAATTCTATATATATATATATATATATATACACTAATAAAATGGATAAAAATGTTTTGTTAATATTTGCTCTATAAAAATATTCAAAAAAATTCTCTCCTCACGATTTTATAACTCCTGTATTGAAATTTTTACTCAATTTGACAATTTTTTCACGAATATTTTACATCTATGTTGAAAACAAATTTATTTGACAAATGTAAAATTAAGATCAAAAATATATCGAAAGAGGATTTAAATTTTAAATCAACCTTTGTCAAAGGCAAAAAAATTTATACAAAGGGTGATCTGTTTTATTTTTAATTAGAAATTACATTGAATCTTGTGCAGTAAATCGAGTTGAATAATTCTAATTCGTTGCAGATGATGAGTGAGAAATTTCAATGCTTCCGTGAGAAATTTGTATTTTGCTTCTTATCGATATTTTTTTATTTTTTGTATAGTTCTTATAAAAGAATTCACAATAAGTAAATAATAGTTATGCAAATATATATCAGAACAGTTGCTCAGGCGTGTTATTACGAGGAGAAAAATGATTGAGAATGCAATTTATCATTAAGAGAACCTAATGATGTGTTATCAGTACTTTCAATTAAGAATGTTCAAGTGCAAATTTATACGTATGATCTTGAATTTATTTCTCAATGTGTTCCTGAAAGTTACAAGGTCATTGTTGCAATTTTACATATGTAATTGAATTGACAGATCATTTCATCAAGAGCAATGGTAGGATTAAGAGGCTGAATAAAAGAAGATTGATATGATGAACATTTTTTATGATTTTTTGTTGTAAAATACAACGTTTTTTAAAAATAATTTTAAAAACAGTAGAAAATTTAAAAAGAAATTTTGCTTTTTGAAAAAATCCAACCATGAACAATTTGTTTTAAAAGGAATGTGGACTATCGATCGTTGACTTGTATTGATTTTTCTAAGGTTAGCAAAGCAAGTGCTGCACGAAAGGGCCTGACAGTCGTTTGTTGGCTCACATTGTGAGCGAGCCATGGCATCGGTTGTAATTATACCTGTACTGAATTCCTCTTCTGTTAGGGGCTTTAGTATTATTCGAGGACAGGCAAAAAATCGAACGCGTAAAACACACAAAGTTATTCATGTTCGAAGGAAAATTAAGCTAGTGAGTACCGAGTGAGTGTGGAAATTTTCACGAAAAATAATTCCTTTAGTTCAATAATATTGGAAACACTGGGAAAAGATATTTTAATAACTTGCACCATTTAACAATTATTCTTTTCTTTACACTTTTGTATATCTTAAAGTCAAAACATATAAAACTTTTGATATTGTTATACAACCAGAAAGTGTATGCAGGATTAAAAAGGATGATTTTTAATTTTAATTCTTCTATCTTCATTTCTAGACACCTTTTGATTCTGAGTTTGCCTCAACAAAATTTAGTTTCTAAAAAGCAACTTTTGTTTTAAAGTGTGTAAAATTGATATCATGTTACATCGTAACGAATACCAAAAACGTGGATCAAATCAAAAATTGATCCAAATATTCTTTTGATTTTTGGTATCAATTTGGTCCACTTTAGTGTCAATTGGATATTTTAAGAAAATTTAGAAAGAGATTTGAAGAAGCGATTATCTTTTATTTACTTAATTGTACGTGCATTCAAGGTATTTTAATCAGACATAGGTATATGGTATTTATATAATTATTATTTTAATGACTTGTGTATCACTTTAATTAATTATTTGTGCAGCAAAGTATTCCATACATATATCAATAAATAATTAATGGTATCTTAAGTGATCGGCAAATCACTGGACGCAGATTAATGCGCCACTGCACGTACCATCTTCTTGTGATAACACACATGTGTTTGCATTGGTACAAATTCATGACGTAGATAAAACGCTACCACGAGGAGGATTCCTCGACATAGTCTTCATTGGATGGTCCATCTATTCCTGGCAGTGCAGAACTTGACGTCGTTACGCAGATGTCTTGGTCTCTCTCGTGTGTCTTATTGATTGTTTCCAATTCTAAGTTTACTTCTTCCGTCGATCATTGACGTCAGTTAATCTTTGCCCACAATACAATGAAACTAATTTCGATCGGTGTGGTAACGTTTTCTCAAAATCTCTATACAGTGACAAATGACTTCTCAAGTGTGCTCTTCACTCCCCCAAACTGTCGATTTCTTTAATTTAAAATCACTTAATTGCATTTATAGTTTATACGTATCACTAAAAACGTAAAAATTAAGATAAGAATTATTCTTAAAAATAGGACTAGAACTTTACGTGAAAAATATTAAAATGATGTTTCAGTCTCAGAAAGTGTAAATGCGAGCATATTATTCGATTTCAATTCTTTATTGATCCTATGAAAGGAAAGAATTCACACTTTTTCATATTGAAACCATATAATTTCAGTTTTTTTTAAGGATTCCAAATGTGTTGCTTCGCAACTATTTTGATACATTTTTTGTCTCAATTTGCTATCCTTAGAAAAACTTACTGTTGACTTTAAAGTACCAAATTGCAACAAATTGAAACCAAAAAAGTGGATCAAATCAAAAATTGATCTAAATGTTCGGCATCAATTTGATTCACTTTAATATCAATTTGATACATTCAGGAAAACTCTGCTGTTTCAATCTTTCGGTATAAAATTAAAGCTGGATTTTTTAACAACGTATTCTGCATTATTTTTATTCGATCGCAGGTTTTGAGGATATCAAAACGTTCACGTTCACGTTTTGATTCGTTTTTTGTCTCAATTTGATATCCTTAAAAGAACTATGTATACAAATGTATCAAATTCTTTCGAAATTATAAATAAAGATTGATAAAAATGTACAAAAATAAAAAACTGAAATTAAGAATATAAACTGGGAAAAAAAGTGAAAAATTTTCACTTTTGAAAATTTGAAAGATAACGAAATTGAAATATTAATTATGGAATTGAATTGATAACTTGGAATAGTGTATAGTAACATTGACACATTTTCCATAGCATTGAAAACCTTGCCAAAAGTTGACAGTTATTTCCAAATTCAGTCATAAATCATTGGAAAAGCATTAACTGGATTTAGAAATTTGTGTTAGGTTCATAAAAATAAATCAAGTGGAAAAAGTGGGTTACTCATCTTGTTTCTTCGGATACCAGAAAGAAATGTCTTATCTCACACCAAAATTTGGCAAGTTGACAGTGTTTGCTTTAAAAAAGAAACATATTATGAGATGAAAGATGTATTCAATCCGAGTGTCCGAGGAACTGAATGAATCAAACTCGACAATAATTAATTGTCGTAGTAGTCAAAAAGCAAAGCAAGTTCAAAACAAGGGAATTTCTAATTTTTGCATGAAAAGAAAGAAAAGAAAATCTGTCAAAAAGGGCAAAAGAACTGAAAATGGAGAGACATTGGAATGTATCACATGCTTCGTACTATACTTGACGGTCAATGAGCTAATTGTCATCATATCAACTTTCATTGAACGCAATTGTTCTAACGTATGTATGTACGCCTACCGTTTGCACTTGATTCGTGGGTCAGTTTAAACGGGATACGGCCCAGATGTTCCAGATATAACTTTGTCCATTTGATATACAGTTATTTGTCAGTACACCTTCATTCCAATGTCATTACACACAAAAACCCCTTTTTTTAGAATGATAAAAATAAATTCCAGTCAGAACAAAATGATTTTTTCAAAAATATGTTTGAACCATCAAAATCAGGTCATATATTTCAATATTTTAAATTTATACTTCAAGAGATAATTTATTTGAAATTTATATTTCAAAATATAATTTTTAATTAAAATCAAATTAAAAATTTATCTGTAAAATGTCGATTTAAAAACGAAATAACTCTCCTTTAATAAAAAACTCTTTTTGCAATAAAAAAGAGTTTTTTGAGAGAAGAGAATTCATTTTCTCTACGAGAAGAAAGAATTCAGGACAAGGATCAAAAATAGAGATCAGGGTGATTCTGGTATTGTTTACTTATTATTTTATGAGAATATTGATATAAATTGTTAATAATTTTTTTCAATTATGTTGACAATTGTTAAATTGTTGACAATTATAATTGTTGAGTTAAAAAGAATTTTCCCGGTTGCTAAATGAAGCAAAATAGAATTGTTTATACAGGAAGAACATTTCCTTTCGTGCGTCTACAAATACATACAAATGTATGAAATGTATGAAATGTATGAAATGTATTAAGAAATTGAACGCTTTTTATCTTTATTTCAGTATACGAACTTGTGTGATGTAATTTTATCGATGAGGGACTTTTTTAGTTAAATAAAAATGTTATAATCAAATCAATAATTTTTGATAAAGATACGATATTTCCTACTATATTATAATAATAGTTATGATGTATGTTTTACATTACAATTTAGTATCTTTGAAAAAACAAAAATATTTTTAACAGTGAGAGAAAATGTAGCGTAAGATAAATTTATTTTTGACCTTTGAAAGATCGGACCCATAGTTCAGTTGAATTTTTCTTTTTCAAGTGACGAACAACTAATTCTATTTTTAAAAGAGCTATTCGCATTCTCAAAGTCTCTCTTTGATTGATGTGTTAAGTATTCGGAAGTTGTTAAGTGCAACTAAATTACGTATATTATATGGCTGAGATAAATTTTGCTGCGAAAAAAATGGCAGAAATAAAAAAAAATTTGAAGCCTCTTTTATCAGTATTTGATTGTCTCTTTCGAATCGTATCGTCTTTGAAATACATACGATATTGAATATGCCGAAAGCATTGTATTTGTGATTGAGGTCGTGATCAGTTGCCCCGAAGTTCATTGTTATCACTCCCGTCCTAAAAGTGCCTTTGTTCTTCACTAAAAGACCAATAATTGCTCTTTTCACGATAAATATTCTATTCTAAATTTATAAAAATCAAATTTTATTCTTCTAAATTGAAAACATTGTGAAAAACATTGTGAAAAACATTGTGAAACATATATTTCTTTTATTATACCAAATTGTGTGATTTTTATTGCTCATATTTTTTGAAACAAGGGGCTTTCGTGATACTTGACTCAAGTTGAAAAGAGAATTAGTTGCACCGAAGACATGTTAATAATAGAAGTTAAAAAGATTTTAATAATTGACGAAAATAAAGTACATACCTAATTATATATTAAAAGCTTCTTAATTGAAAAAGTTTCTGGTATTTTAATGTCACACAAAAGACTTGATTCAGTTCAGATTGAAATTGTAATTTTGTCACATTTTGTAATGGAATATTGCTAATAATTCAAGACCGATAGACTTTATAATGGCAATTAAATTATAATGATAAATAAAACGTTACTGAGTGATTAAAAGTGAAATTTATGGATATTTATTAAAACCATAATTTGTTGTGCAATATTAAAATTTAAATTTCTGGTAATTATGCTTTTAATAATTATTAAATAAACTAAATCATCGACATTACAAAAAGTGGGAAAAGTGGGAAACTTAAAGAAATTAAGTGCGATTAAATCATGAATGGTGCTAAAAATAATAAAATATTAAATTCTTTTGGCTGTATTTTAGTGACACAAATGCAATAGTGACTTAAAGGATCTAGACGAAATAATAATGTACAAATTGAGTGGAAAATTTATATAAACATTTGTTTATTGATACAATAACTTTTCGTGACTTTTGGGCAAGATAAATGGTTTCTAAACCAGTGAAAATGGTGAGACCAAGTAATCTTGTCGGGGTTGATATCCTCAATAGCTACAATAAAAAAATGAATACTTTTCGGGGTATCCCGAAGGCAGAACTTGAAAGAAGAACACATGCTCTTTTACAAGCAATGACGGTGAGTTTTGATAGAACAAAAAAAAGTATAAAAAAAGAAAAAAAAATCAAGTAATCAAAAATATATACGCATAACTTTTATTATTATTATTATTATTTAAGAAACATTCAGTTATTGAATTCGGGTAATAAAATTTTTATTTCAATCAATGATGCATTCGCTTTCGCCCGATTTTCTTTATTTATAAATTATAACATTTTGTTATCAAAGAATCTATTTCAACTGGTAATAAAATTTGAAAGTTATTAATAACTCTGTGCGTTTCGTAAAACCCAAAATAGTTTGTAATTGGGAAACGCACTTGACATAGAAAAAGATGATTGGCCAAGAATCACAGACAACTAGATTTTGCAAACATCGTATAACGAGAAACACTCGAATGAATGTTATATTCATGAATAAAAACTAGAACATTTGAATGAGGTGCACTTTTTCATATATGGTTAAATAAAAATTGGAATAAAATTCCTAAATTCGGTATAATTGAATTTACATGAAAAAGTAATTATCTTTACACTTTAACAGTATATATATATATATATATATATATATATAAATTGAATGAAACAATTATCGAGTTTTCGCTTCTCAAAAGAATTTACCGACATCATTAGTAGCGCCTAATGATGTTGGCAAATAATTGTAGTCGTCAATTTAATAAAGCACCATATTTTTTTTAAAAGAAAACAAAATTGCACTTTATTCTCAAAAGTCGTTTACTCATTTATAACAATACTAAAAACTAGATTTAAAAAAGCATTTTTTAAAGAAAATAAATTTTTTATATCGTCACTTACTTAATTGACGTACATAAGTGCGATAGTGTCAACGTGCGTTTCATGCTCATCTAAAATTTATGCTTTGAATTTCATTAATAACAAATAAAGTAAATTCTGATTTTTTAAATAGAATAAACAATGACACATATTTTAAAGAGGATTATATAAAATAATTGTTGTGAGTAATTTTATTCTTTGTATTTTTTTTAATTATTTGAAAATGTTAAATTACAATTAAATTATATGTTAGAATTATATAGTATTTATTACAGGCATTCAGAGAAAATTTTATTTAAATCGAATAGAATTTATTTGAAAAAAATAAAAGGTCTTGTTGGCTCTGAGTCAAATTATTATTAGTCAATAACTTCTCTTAATTGTTTATTATTATTTGTACTAGTAAATGGTAAATATTACAAAATTTTTTAATTTTAAATATTGACTAGAATAATTGAATAAATTCAGATTCAAAATTTAAAAAATACACATATTAATTACGAAAGGATTCAATTATGTTTTTTAAATTTTTCGGAAGAATTCAATTATTTTCTAAAATTTAAATAAACTTGTTTGAAACAATTCAATTATTTTTATAAATCTCCTCAGGAATTTAGTTATTTTCAAAAATTTTAATTAAATTTTGTGAAGAATTGAATTATTTCTAAAAAATTTTAATAAAATTCAATAATAAAATATTTAATGACAATTATTAACAAACACAATTTTTTAGAAGGTTGAAAGAAATTCTTCGTAAAAATTTTTTGATAAAATTCTTCTCAAGAATTCAGTTATTTTTATAAATATTAAAATTCTTGGCAAAAATCCAATTATTTAAAAAAATTTCGATAAAATTCTTCGAAGAAATTCAATTATTTCCAAATTGTTTGATAAAATTCTTCAATACATTAATTTGAAAATTTAAAAAGTAATGAAGCAAAAGAGCAAACAATAACTAATTTCAAAATGCGAACAGATTATCGGAACACAATACATACGATTATTATTGATATATAGATTATTAATACAGTTGAAATATTTTCATTCTAGATCGAGGAATTATATTCTGCAGTGGTGTTTATGATACAGCATCAAATTGGATACGATGAATCTGATGAGTGCGGTAAAGAAGCAATGCTTTGTCATTTACAACAGGCCTTTAAAGTGGACAATGAAGTGCACGAACGAGTTTTGGAAGAAACACGAAATATGGAGGTCTTGTGCTTACAATTATTTTTAAAATTAACAAACATTAATTTTATGTATTTCGAAAAATTCTCGATTATGATTTTTGTTGTATAATATTTTAATATTATTAATTTAAAAAAAATGTTTTTCTTTATATTTATCGTGAAAAGTTAAAAATTATTGTTCTCTATAAGAAAACTCAGAGCAAGTGGAAACACTTTAAGGGAACTTTGCAAGTTCTGTTTGAAACTTTTGTTGATAATTCAAGGATACCCACCTCAAACTTATTCAAGTTCACATAAAAACTTTTTTATTTTCAAGTATTATACAGATAGTACAATTCTTTTTTTTGAAGATTACAAGAATTTGTCAATTATTTTATGACCTAAATATATTCAACGAGTTTGTTTTTTAAATTTTTTTCTCTTTTAGGCTCCGGAACTGCATCTTAACGTGGAAGTGATAGAGGCAAAGGAACTCGTTTCCAAGGATGCAAATGGCTTAAGTGACCCTTTTTGTGCACTTTATCTCGAGTCGGCTCCAACTCGCAGATATAACACTGCCGTTAAGACAGAAACACTCACCCCTACATGGGAAGAGCATTTTGAATTGTAAGTTTAAAGAAAACGTTACAAAGAAATCTTGTTGAAAAAAGTTTATTTTTTGATAATTATACTCTTAAATGCAACTGTTTCAGTTGCGAACTTTTTGTTTTTGTTCAATTTTTTTTTCATGATTGTACAATCGAATTTTTTCTTAGTATTCTTATAGGAACAAAGCTACAAATAAGAAGATATTTTTGAAAAGAGGTCACAGAATTGTTGCTTTATTCAAAATTCATAACGTAATTTATAGTTGGTAAATAACAGACATTTTATTTGAATTTACAGACCCGTAACCGATTCTGTGAACGACATTTTGGCCCTGGAAGTATGGTAAATATTTAATAGCAACCTAAAAAGACTATTTTTGTAAATAATTTTGACAGGAGAAAGCATTTCATAAATTTTAAATTAAAGGGATTTTGATGCTGCGGAAACGGTGCCGGAGAAAATGAATAAAGTCAAGGATGTAAAGGGTGTACGTGGACTAATGAAACTTGCTAAAGAAATTGCTGTCACTGCAACAACTGGCAATCACGATAATGAATTCATTGGGCGCACTCGAATACCTCTCAAGGTAATAAACTTAATTCTGAATTCAAAATATTTTTCCCTAATGTTGCAACTGGGTTACCACCAAAATTTAATTTTGTTTTTCCCTGACTTCCAGACAAAATTTTCATTTTCCCCTGACCCTGAAAAATATTCTGATTCACTCCAAAAAATTATTAGATACTCAAAAAAATGTTCTATTATACATTTATTATTTACGAATTTCCTTAATTGTAAAATTATTCGAAACAATAAATAACTTCTTTTTTAATTAAACATTCAATCATTATTATTTTTCTATAGGAATTAAGATTGACTCGGAGTGATCGATTCCTTCATGTTTTATAATAAATTTAAGATGACAGAGTGAAAAAATCATTATTCTATGTTGTAACTATAAATTTAAATTTTCAAAGATTTCAATTTGAACTCTCTTCAAAATTCAATTATTTCTAAAAATTCACGTTATAATGCTTTTAATATTCAATTATAATTTAAAATTTTAAGTGATTTTTACAAACATTTTTGACAATAATTGTATTCTATGATCAATTTTATTATAATTTTTTAAATTTATACAGCATTTTTTGAAAATTTTTTAAAATAAATTGATGTATTATGTATTATTTGTGAAAATAATTGAATTGAATTGTATATAGGAAAATTTTATTAACTAAATCTTTTAAAGAATTTTGTCAAAAATTTTTTTAAATAATATACTTTTTAAAAGAATTTTATTTTAATATTTCGAAATAATTAAACTTCTCAGAACTATTGTTTTCAATTCTCTGAATATAAAAAGTCAGGGATGTTTATTAAAAGTTCTGGACAAAATTAAATTTTTAGAATTTATAAGAAAATTCTTAATTTTTGTGTCATTTTTATTTGCCTCATAAACTGTGAAACTGACAAGAATTAATACAAAACCTTCAACTTTTTCTATTTTTGACAATAATTTATTTTTAAATATCTTAAATCTTAAACAATACTATCATAAAAAAAAATGACTTAGAAATTATTAAATGAATAATTTTACTTGAAAATTTCAAAATCAATTGGATTTCAAAAGAGTTTTGTTTACAGTCTTCATAAATAGATGAACTTCAAAGATTTTCAATTTGAAACATTTAGTAAATTACAATTTTTAATAAATTTAAATAGAAATTTTGAGAACAACTGATTACTGAAAATCATTATTTTCAAAAGTGATAAACTTCTTCGCATAAATTCAATTATGTTTAAAAATTGTTTTAAATTGTCTTCAACATTTCAATTATTTTTATAAAAATAATAAAATTCTTCTCCGAAAATATCCGAAATATATTAGTATAGTAATTACTGTTAGAAGGGTAATGTTTATTAATAATTGTAAATGTAGTTAAACTTAATTTCGACATGTAATTCTTTCGCAGCTAGCTGCCTCTTTTCCGAACCGTGCTCTCTGCTCTATGCTTTCCTTATCTAATCTGATCTCTCAATTTTCCGGTTTACCGCCTAAAATACTATGAGCTATACCTAGCTCCGTCTTTTATATAAAATAGCAATTTAAAATATAGCGCGTATCTTTAAAATGCTAACATTACTATTTATTAGTAGAATTTACTAATTCAAAAGCAAAAAGTGAGTCACTAATTGAAATTAGTATGTAAACATTTTTACTAATTCAAGTTTAGAGAGTGGCTAATTTGTGGCAATCCTGAAAAAGTTATAGATTTTTGAAAAAGAACATGAAATTTCAGGACATTCCAGTGTCGGGAAATTGTATGTGGTATCCGTTGGAGAAAAAGAACAAGTCAAAGCGAAGAGGTGTTGTCAGATTAAAGCTGGCATTCAGCGCGGAACATGATACTCAAGTATCCTGTCAGGAACACAGGCATTTGTTGAGAATACTATTGATGCACGAATTAGACTCACAAAAAATGGAAAAATATTGTTGGGCTGGCAAATGGTCGGCACCTGCAGATGCTCTGATTCTTCAGCATGTCGCCCAAAGAGGACTTTTATCGAGGAATGTATCGCTCGCTGAATGGGTCGAATTTTCTCGAGTTCATCAGGAACATCCGCTTAGTTTCACATTATTCAACAAAATAATATTGGAATTATTGAGACCTCTGGAAAATAATCTGTTTTCCGCTGACGAAACAAAACTTTTTTGGGAGGCAACGAGAAAACTCATTTACTCCTGTTTGAATTGCGTTAGGAAAATAAGGAAATTCCCTGCTGAAGGAAACAATGTTTTTCATCAACTTTCTGCTATTCTAGGGTTAGTTACATAATACCTATATAAATGCACAATTTTTTTTATGGATATCAATTTGATATCCTTAAAAAATGTGCGAGTCACATTTACATTATCACAAAACTTTTTATTATGTACTTTCCTGATTTCCAGAAAGAATATTATGTAACTTCTTTCCTTTTTCTTGCAATAATTTTCAATTTTTGTCAAATTCAATTATTTTCCAAATTTTTAGTAAGAATTCTTCAAAAATACGTTTATATTTAAAAATAAATTTTCAAAGAAGACTATAAAATTTATTATTTGACAAAATTTCCAATCAATTGAAAATTTTATATCAAAACGTTGCTTCGCGACTACCTATTTTGATACATTCTTTTGTCTCAATTTGATATCCTCAAAAAATTTGTGTGATAAATTTAATTTTATACGTTTCTATGAAATTGCCATCCATTTTGTGAAATTTAAAATTTAAATTCACACTTAAGTGAAATTTAAGTGCTTCTGTATTTTCCAGATTTTCATGAAGAATATTAACTTCTTTCCTTTTTCTGGTAATAATTTTCAATTGTTGTAAAATTCAATAATTATTTTCCAAATTTTTAGTTAGAATTCTTCAAAAATACTATTTTTAAGTACTTAAATTTAAAATTTTTTTAAAATTTAATTATTTCTGAATATTTATACTAAAACTAATACTTCTAATTTTCAATTATTATCTATAATTTAAACTAAAATTCATTTTTAAATCAATTCTTCTAAGAAAGTTTGACAAGAATGTAATATTTACCTAAACACAAAAATAAATAATAATTTATTGAATAATTGATTCTTTCTCTTAATATTGAATTCCTATAAAGAATCTTATCAAAATTATTTATGAAAATAATTAAATTCCTGGGAAAAATGTTATTGTTTGTGAAAATAATTTAATTCTCGAGAAGAATTTAAAAAAATTTTTTGAGAATCATTGAATATTTTTAAAGAATAAATGATTTCATTCGGAGAATTTTATAAATTTATTTTTAAATAACTAATTTCTTTGGAAAAAAAAATTTTATGAAAATAGTATTTTGAATAACTGTATTTCTGTGAAAATTTTAATAATTTGGAAAATAATTGAATTTTTTATAGAATCTTATTAAGAATATTTTAAAATAATAATTGAATTCTTTTGTGAAATTCTATTAAAACAGTAGATATTGAAAATAATTGAATTGAATTTTTTTTTTTTTTTTTGAAAATAGTTGATTTTAATTAATTTGTATGAAAATAATTGAATTGAATTATTTTTTGTGAAAATAATTAAATTTCATTACTTTTTGGAAAAATAATTGAATTCTTGCGAAAAATGTTCTTAAAATTGTTAGAATTGTTTCTAAGAATTTTATTAAAATTTTTTAAGAATAATTTGTTTATTTCAACTATTAGTGAATTTGAAGTAGTGCAAATTCTCAAACATAACAAAAAGTAGCATTTAGTATCACAAATCTAAAAAAAAGTATTCAAATAGTATCAAATCGTAAAAAAGTTGTCATAGATAATTGAATTTACAACTTTTAAATAGTAAGTTTTTAGTAGATGACTGCGAAGCCTGCTCTAGTTTAAAGTAACAAAATTTAACAATACAATTTTAAGCAACTGTTTTTAACATTAACTTTTATTGAAATTTTCAGAATATTATCATCGATATCGTCAATTAATATTCCTGAGGACGTGGACCTTTTTCCAGTAAAAATGTACAGTTGGTTTCCCGAAACAGATGAAACACATGTTAGTATTCTTCAGGCTTTGGAATACACTGTGATTCAAGGTGGAGCTGAATGGTAAATATTAATAAAACGAAAAAACTTTATAAAGAAATTATTCCTGTGAATAATTTACATGCAGGTAGAAGAATTATTTTATTATTATCTAAATACTTTTAGGTTCGAGTACATTGTGGGAAATAATACTTTGGAGGGTCATTCTGATGAAGAAGCTTTACAGTTTCATATTAAAGTTATTCAGTTGATAAGAGCTGATTTACAACGAGCTATCGAAATGCACGATAAAATTTTCATCAAGTAAGTTTGATTCATCTTCTTTTCAGCTTTAATATTTTTTCAATTCAATATATTAGTTTTGTATTTGTAATAGATTATTTTTGTACGTAAGTTTTTTTCTACATAAATCAACATTCTTTTAAAAGATTCTAAACTCGAGAATGAAATTATTTTCAGAAAAATAAATTTCCCGTATGCAAGAACACTGTATGTGATGTACGAGAAAAGAATTAGTGACATGTGTATGATTATTGTGGAAGATATTTGTGCGAGACTGAAAAGGATCCAAATTGAAAGTAGTGAAGACGCTGAATTGGGACTTGGTACAACTTTGTTTGAACTTTATTTAGCTCTTCAACGATATGCAGCGTAAGTGTAATATTCATTATCAATGTATATCTTTATGAAATTTCTCACATGCTTTTTGTTTGTTGTGTATTTTTATTTATTTCTATTTATTTCTATGCTAATGTTTAATATCATGAGTGGCGTAGGAGATAGAAATTGAATGCATTATTTATTCTGTGCCTCTAGGCTCGGACACGTTTTGTGTGCAGAAGGGTTGGAGGAGATGAAAATTCAAAATTACTACGACTGGTTTAGGGCTGGAGTCGCCCACTGGTTGGACATTGCTGTTTACAAGGCTTTAAAGCGAATTGACAGAGCAGTAGATTTTGACACTTTACAACCTGTGGACTCTAGTGTTCAATATAGTTCCAGTGCCGTAGACACGTTGACAATCTTTTATCAGATCAAAGTCTTCTGGACTCAACTGGCTTGGCCGGATGTTGAAGGATCTTATACTTTCATTGCCAAAATCATTGACGTAGGTTTTTATTTTATATCCCCATGTGTGTATGTGTGTGAATTTTGCAATTCAAATTTGTGCTTTCAAATAATATATTCATCCCACCGATTCGCATTTTCAGGACATTTGCAAATGTTCGATAGCATACGCAGATAAGATGGCAAATAAAGCGGAACAAGTTACACAAATAGAACAAGACACGTCGAGTAATAGCGTTTATGAGAGGAAATTTGAGGTCTCGAATGCCTGGTGTTTTGCCATTAATAATATTGACTATATCAGAACATCTATTGCCCCTTTGGCTAATGACTTGGGAATGCAAGGTATCGTTGATGCCCTCTCTGAAAACAAGCCGGAACAGGAAGCCGAACGTTGCAGGCAAACTTTGCAGCTTATTATTGACAATGCCACTGACAGTGTTAAAGACAAAATTATTGATTTACTCAAGATGGTTGCCAATAATATGACACCTGCTATTAGCAGGTATTTATCACCTGTTCAATAATTGCATTATTAACTTGCCTGAATATCCAAGTGAACTATTAAACGAAATTTTCAGATATCTAATGGAAGGTGCCGAATTGATAGACACAACAAGCAATGCAATGGATCGATTATTGCACTACTTGGATTCTAATTTATCAACGCTTCACGAAAATCTTAATCAGGAGAATTTCAACACAGTTCTTCTCGTTATTTGGGAATTAATATCCGAGACTCTCTGGGACATGGTCAACAGTAATTTGGAGGTGAGTTTGACAAAACGTTTGAAAAATAAAGCCCTCTTGCTCCTTACAAGAATGCATTGAGTCAATTTTTGTCAGATTATGTGACAGTATGGGCCTATTGGGGCTTTACGCTTTGTATATTATGTTCTGAAGAACCCTCATTGTCTTTTATGCAGAAAAGGAGACCACCGTCCTTCTATTCGAACCTGCACCGTACTCTTCACACCCTCATCCGGTTCTTCAACCTCGGAGCGGACGAGGCTGCGAATGTTCAAGTATTGGAGAAGATTGAGAGCCTCTTAAAGCTCCATGGGCTCGAAACTGCCGAGTTGATTCATCGATATAATCTCGAAAGGATTCGAGAGCAGAAGGAACTGGAGGACCCTGTATACGGTCTCCTTACTGTCAGAGCACAGTTTATCGACAACTCGATGAACATTCAGATTCTCAATGCGCGAAATCTCAGACCAGTGGACAGCAACGGTAAGACATTCTTCGTTTCCATTCCCACTATTCTTCCTTCGTTAAGAACCAATATATTTCGTTCCCAATTGGCTACAAAACAAAATCAATCTCCAATTGTTGGCTGAACATATTTGCAGGCAATTTCCAAAAAAGAAAATTCAAAGTACGGAATTAAATTATTAATAATAAATGGGTTAAGAAACTTAATCTCTGTCATCAGGGGAATTGTAAAAACCAAAGGTTCTTGAAATGACATTTCTTTTCAATTTTTATAGGCGATTTTATAGGAAAGCTGTCCACTCTTGAACGCAAACTGCACTCAAAATCTAAACAAAGACTGACAGAGGGGAAGACAAGTATGTAAAAAAAGAAAAAAATACAGATCAGACTACCACTCGCCCTCGTCAATCCATAGTTGCCTGTTCTCACATCACGAGATTTAGTAGACAATATTAAAAATTGAAAAACATATTTCCCCATTTTTAGTCATTAATCAGTTTTCCCATTTTCTTGGAAACTTGCACGAGACATGAACATTTTCCATTTTACATCAGTCTTGAAGGAAATGGGTTTTCATCGATTTTCAATATTCTATATGTTTTTGCGATATTCCTGTGTATAATTATTAAAACAAATTGCTATTGATGAATATTCACTAAATACATCTTTATTAAATACTAGCCAAATTATCCGCGAGGGAATCTTGTGCTACAATGTTTATTGTAAACAATTTCAAGTCATTTTAATTTAAGTAATTTTTAAACTGAAAAACTAATTAGAATTAAATTTTCAAAATATATTATATTTTTAAACTTTAAAGTATATAAAAAAAACTTTAACAAATTTCGATACTAATTTCAAATTTGGCATCAGATTTTCAAAATTGAAAATAATTAAACTTTCTTGTACGAGGAAAATTGAATTTCACAAAAATTGTTATCTGATACCTAAAGTAAAAAAAAAAACTTCATTACGAAAATTTTAATTATTCTAAAGAATAGAGAAGGTAAAAAAAATTATTAAATATATAGGTATTTAACTTTCCGAACAAAGAATATAAACAATATTTTTTTAGAGAATTTCCACTACTTTTAATTCGCTAATATTGAAAAAAATCAATTTTATTTAACAAAATTTAATGCAATTTATTTTTCCCAATAATTCAATTACTTTTAATAATTATAAAATTTTTCATTTAAATTCAATTTAAAAAAAAAAAATTTTTTGATTAAATTCTAAGCATGAATTTAATTATTTTCATAATCGTAAAATTCAGTTACTTTCACAAATAAAGTTTTTGACAAGAATTCAATTATTTAAACTAATAAAATTTTCATAACATTTAAAAATTCATTATTTAAAACAATGTTCATAAAATTCTTATGAAGATTTCAATTCCTTTCAAAAGTAATAAAATTTTCAACAGAAATTCAATTCTTTTTAAACATTTTAATAAACTTTTTCGCAAGAATTCAATTATTTTCATAAATAATAAAATGTTTTTTTGGAAACTCCAATTATTTTCAAAAAAATTTAATAAAATTTCCCACAGACATTCAATTATTGCCAAATTTTTAAATAGAATTCTTTGTAAAATTTAATTATCTTTAAAAACTTTTCACAATTCAATGATTTTCAATATCTACTATTTTTTATAAAATTACCAAACAGAATTCAATTATTCAAAACAATTTATGATAAAATTCTAGGAAAAAATTCAATTATTTTCATCAATTTTAATAAAATTCGCCGCAAGAAATTAATCATTTACCTAATTAATAAAATTCTTTGAAAGAATTAAATTATTTTTATAAATAATAAAATTCTTCGAAAGTAATTAAATTATTTTTTCAACAATTATTAATAAAATTTCTCGAAAGAATTCAATTATTTTCATAAATTACAAAATCCTTAGAAAAAATGTAATTCTTCAAAAAATTCAATTTTTCTCAAAATTTATAAAATTTTTCAGAAAAATTCAATTATTTTACAAATTTTTTTTAAAATTCTTCCCAAGAATTCAACTATTTTCCAAATTTTAAAAAAAATTCTTCTGAAAAATTCAATTATTTTTATAAATAATAACATTTTTCATTGAAAATTCAATTATTTTCAAATATTTTTTTTAATTCTTCGCAAGAATTAAATTATTTTAAATTCTTTCATGAATAATAAAATTCGTAGCATAAATTCAAATTATTAGCAGGATAAGAAAAAAGTAAATATTTTTAATGAAAATTAGGAGAAAGTCAGGAAAATAAAAAATATGGAATGGAATTTTTGTCAATTTTGTGAAGTGAATAAAACGAGTTTTTTTTGGTTTCTTTTTGACATTAAAAAAATAACAATAACCCACAAAAATGAATTTTCAAAAAAAAAACAAATGGATACAGATAATTTGCTAACGGAAAGGAAACTTACGATTATTATAATGTATATATATTTAATCGCATAAAAAATTATTCCATTTAAAAATATCAAGGGAGAGAGAGAGAGAGAGAGAGAGAGAGAGAGAGAGAGAGAGAGAGAGAGAGAGAGAGAGAGAGAGAAAGAGAGAATTTTTCTACATTTAAACCTCTAATATAAAATAGTGTCATGAATGAGTTGAAACCTTTTTTCCATATTCTCTTTTTAGCCCAGAACATTAGTCATCGTGCATGCAGCATCTTATAGGACATTGTAAAATGTAAAAAATAAATTGTTTCTTGTAAGAATAATGAGTGATATTTTCTATTACAGGAAAATGTGATCCTTACGTGAAACTTCGATTACTGCCAGAGGAAAAATTCAACGAAATTAAAATGCCAAAAACTCGCATTCATAAGGAAACTCTCTTCCCCCTGTTTGATGAACATTTTAATATGTAAGTATTTAAATTAAAACTCGTTAAAATCATCTTGATTTGAAAATAATAATAATAATAATACAAGAATTATAGAAATAAGAAAGCAGTAAAAAAATAAGTATTATTTTTCTATTCCAGTTCTTTGACAACGGAACATAAAAGCATAGAAGATGCAATTTTAGTCTTTGAGGTGAAAGATAAGGATTTCCTTCGAACAAAATTCATGGCTGAAGCATTTTTAAATTTCAGTGAAATTCCTGAAACAGGGCCTGACCAGCATATCGAGACCCTGGAGCAAATCCACTTGAAACTTTCTCGACCAATTACGAAGAGTGAGTTTACCTTTTCTTTCTTTTATCGACTTCATAGAATAGGTACAAGGTACAAGAAAACTTTACAAATTGTAAACTGAGAATTCTTTACTTACTCCAGTCTGATACTAACTGATTTGAAAAGAGTTCTTGCAATACAATCTTTGTAGTGCGCATAATAATTTATTTATTACTAAAATAAATAATAAACATTTAAATTTGTTTCATAAAGGTACTGAGGTGGTGCGAGCTTTAGAAAACAGGAAAGGCGACAGTCTGGCTATGGATTTCGTATCAAAATTGAATACAAAATTAAGTGCAAGATAATCGTGGAATGAGCGGGGTTCAACTTCGATTGCTAAACTGAACGCCCGTTCATTTATTAAACGTTCCATATTCTCTAAATTCCCTTTTAAATTCTTCAAAAATACGAGAATATATCCTGGAAAATAGTCACAATATTGAAACAGTTTATAATAATATCTATTCGAATGCAATTTTCTCTAGATGTTATTCTAAATTAAAATCAGTCATCGAAAATTATTAATATCGATGACAATTTTAAACAGGAGTATGAATTTTCTCTTCTCAATTATAGACGTTTACTAATATTGAAAAAGTCCTTTACAACTCGGAATATTGTTTTATTAATAAATGTCAATAATAAAAAAAGCATATTTTACAAAAAACAATCTCTCAATAAAATGAATGAAATTGTGGAAGCGAAATGAAAAATCTTTAGAAATCATAATAAGAGACTCAATGATATATTTAATTGAATGACATATACGCATTTTTTATATGGGAAAAATGTCATTGCCATTTGAGATTATTTTTTAAATATAAAAAAATATTGAACGGATTTATTAAAGAAAGAAATTCAAATTAAGGAAAGAATTCTTCCACATAAATAAATTTACTCTATATAGGCTGTGCAATATGTGAACTTTTCGATTATAACAATATTGTTGTAATCAAAGTCAAAAAATTTTAATTTTTTACAACTTAATACAAATTACTTTCAAAGTTTCAATTAGTGGCTAAAAATATGTACTGTTCCCAACGGAAATATTACTTTAAAAAAAAAAAAAAAAAAAAAATACGAGCATTGATGCAGAAACAAGATAATTATTTACTTAACAAACCGTTATTATACACTATAAATTTTCATTTTTATGTTAATTGCTGAAACTAGATCTGCTGCATATAAAATGTAACCAGAAACCTCATTATGCCATAAAATATCTATATGACAGAAGTTAAGGAAAAATACTTAATGAAACAAATGTTATACTGATGCGTAGTTGTAAGAGAGAAATAAAAAATATATTTACTTTTATATAAATTAATCAAATTTCTCAAAAAGTGAATGCAAAAACAATTTCACTCGTGGTGCATATACCCATAAAAATCTATTTTACACATGTAACTCGAGAACAATAATTTTATCTTAATAAGCATTTTTGTACAAAAATGATTTTATAGCAGAGTTTTTTAAAAGAAAAAATCTTTCGAATTCGATATTCTAGAATGTGTACTACTTATAAGTTAGTTTTATGTATGAATTGTTTTCTTTACTAAACTTTTTTGACTACAACTTAAATATCATTTCACAATTTGTATCATTCATCATTGTATTTATTGCATAAGTAAAATATTTTATCAAATAAAAGTATTTCGGTAATCATTAAATTTTGTTTTGTTGTCTAATTGTTGGCTGATTTTCATTATATCCAATAAGGGATTAAACTCTTAAACAATGGAAATAATATTTAGGTGTACCGCAAGCTTTTCTAGTACATTTCGAATGAATTTTGTTTATAAATTAATAGTTTTCAAGTACCAATAGCACCATACACATATATCCGGTACACACATTTTAATTGAGAGGGAAATTTTTTGCTCGATTGTATTTATAATGAGACGGGGAGAAAAAACCAACTCGGCCATCATTTCCGGTCGCGAGACGTCATCATTTCATGTGAACTACCGGTTTTGACAACCAAGCACGTAGAATAACAAAAGAGATCTAAACATTGTCAAGATAGCCATTATCTAGAATGTTGATCGATATTGAATCGCCATCATCCAATGACTGACGTGCGATGATGATTGCTTTTGTATGGAATCATTGAACGCAATACTTGTGTCACAGAATATAGTCAATGACCAATGAATTTATAACAATGGGTTCACATATCAGAATTCACAGAATATTGAACAAAATAACAAGAAAAAAAGATTTTCTCATTCAAAATTGCTAACAAGTAATTTAGGGTTGCCACAAAAATTTAACACTTTTCCCTGATTTCCAGTCACAAATTTCACTTTTTCCCTGACCCTATAGAATCTATTATTATTAAGCAACATCAGTAATAATTGTAAAAAGGAACGCGGTATACCATTATTTATTATTTTTTAAATTAAAAAATTTTATATTTTCAATTATTCAAAAATTTTAATAACATTTTCGCAAGAATTTCATTTTTCATAAATAATAAAATTCTTCACAAGAATTCAATTATTTTTAAAAACATTAATTAAATTCGATTATTTTCAAGAATTTTAATATAAATTCAATTATTTTCAACAATTCTGATAACAATTCAGTTGTTCTCAAAAGTTTTTAATATAAAATTCTTCGTAATGTAAATTTCAATTACTTTCCAAATTTTCAATTAAAATTACTTAAAAAAATTACATTATTTTTACGAAATTTAATGAAATTCTTAAAAAAATGTAATTATTTTCAAAAACTGTAATAAAATTGTTTCAAAGAATTTAATTTTCTATGAATGATTTAATTGCTTTCAAAATTTTCAGTAAAAATTATTTTTAAAAAACAATATTATTTTCAATAATATTGAAATAAATTCTTCAAATCAATTCAATTATTTTAAACAATTTTAATAAAAATCTTGCCAAGAGTTCAATAATTTTCAGTAAATCGACTATTTAATTATTTCTGAAAATAATTGGATTCTTGAATAGAATAATTTTATTAAAACTTTTTTAAATAATTGAATCCTTGCGTGAAAACTTATTATTTCAACAAAGAATTGAATTCTTGCAAAATTTAAGAAATTAATTGAATGTTTAAGAAGAATTTTATTAAAATTGTATTTTAAAAAATTGAATTTCTGTGAAAAATTGATTATTTATTGATATTATTGAACTCTTTCGAAGAATTTAAAGAAAATGTTTAAAAATAATTGTATTTTCCTTGGAATTCAATTAAAATTGTATTTAAAATAATTAAATTCCAGCGAAAATTTCATTATTTCTAAAAATAATTGAACTTCTGTGAAAATTTCAATTATTTTTTTAAATAATTGAATTTTCTCGGAGAATTTTTACAAGATTTTTAAAAATAATTGAAATTTTCAAAGATATTATTTAAAAATGGACTTGAAAATAAGTGAAATCCTGATAAGAATTTAAATATATTTATAATAAAAATAATTTAATTTTTTACGAAGATTTTTATTATTTATAAAATGACTAAAGAATTTTATTAAAATTATTGAAAATAATTGAATTCTTCATAAAATTTATAATTATTTTCAAATTTTTTGATAAATACTTTACAAAAATTCAATGATTTTGAGTACCTACATTAATTTAAAAATTTTAAATATTTTAATAGGTAGTAAACGAAAAAGCAAACAGCAATTTACCGGAATACAACGATTATTAATATAGATTAAGAAATGCAGAAATGTTTTATACCTAATTCATAAAATACTTGCAATATTTTACAGTAAAGATCTGTTTTTCATAGTAGTAGCATTTTTTGGACGAAACAAAAAAAAAGTCGATACGAGTAACGCGTATAAATTTCATAGTTTAAAATCATGTCCATTTGCGTTGGTATGACATTTCACAGATGTCGGACCAGGGTTCTTTTCGATGGTCCACTATTACTCTCATCGACACCCGTCATGTGAACTATACAGTGAATCAAAAACCGGATTTTATAATCCTAGGTGACAGTGATGTGCCGCTGACACGGAGATTTGTAAGTTTTGAAACGACCCCACGTCACGACAACGAGTTTCAAAAGGTTTGCCAATTAGCATATAAGCAAGAGAGTCTGAAACTTAGATCACATTTAATCTATGAGAGTGTGCCCCGTGCACGTCAAGTTCAACACAAAGAATCACTATGACAGGACACACATTCACAATGTACACATTAGCAAGTTTTTTTCACTTTTTTATACACATACATCCGAAGCATGAAACGATTATCTTCACCGTAGAAATGATCCATTCAAAATATTTTTTCCAAAATGAATCGCACACTGCGTGCGATTATTATCTTTCTTTACACGCCTCTCTAATCTACAAATTACCCAATGGCCATTCATTGATTATTTTTTAAAACCAATTTTTTTCTTTTGCATTTTTTCCACCTGAAAATATTTTACCAGGGGGCGAAAAAATGTCAATTTCAAATTTCGCACTATAACAAGAAAAACACCTTAAAACACCTTAAAACATCTTAAACTCATTGATCATTAAGATTGATCATTAAGATTGGAGGTTCGAAAAATAAGATGTTTTAAATAATTTTAAAAATATCTTACAATTAACTATATTAATCTCCGTATATATAATATTATAATTCTTTCATTCATTCTGTCCGCTCTCCGCAGTTTGAAGCATTGAAGTTAGTTTCTGTGCATTTCTGTGTATGCTTTTGTTTCTTTTTTCTTTAAAAAATATTGTTTGACAAATCGAAAATATGCAGGTATATTTTTTCGTAATATTTTTGTAGAAAATTCTCAATTTTCATAAGAAAATAATTTGCATCAATTCTATTTCTTAATTTCAATTGTTTTAATAAAATTCAAAGTGTTTTTAAAAGTAAAGGAAAAAATGTTTATAAAGTATATTATTTTGTCAATTAGAAAATTTAATTGAAAATTTTTGAATTTTTAGAAAATAAAGGAAAAAATTTTATTGGAAAAAAGGTTCTGTTCAATTTTTTTACGAATATCTTTTATTGAAAAATTATTCAAAAACAATCATTTCTTTTTTAAATATTTAATTATTATTATTTTTCCGTAGGAATTAAAATTCTTCAAAACATTCAAATTCAAAACTTTTTGAAATTAATCATCATCTTCAAAAATATTATTATAAAACATAAAGAAAGCGATTACTCCGAGTCTTCGACTCGGAGTGGTCGATTTCATCATGTTTTATAATAATTAAAGATTACTGAATAATAAAATCATTATTTTATATTATAAGAATATTGTTACTGTAACTTCTTAAAAATTAATTTCATATTCTTTTATTATCTAAAATTTTAAACGTAATTCACTTTTAAATCAATTCTTTTTTAATGGTTCGACGAGAATTCAATTATTTAAATACAAAAGTAAATTATTTATTGAATAATTGACCTTTCTTAAAATTTAATTCTTATAAAATAATGAATTTTATTAACAAATTTTTAAATAATTGAATTCTTTTGATGAATTTTAATAAAATCTTTTAGAATAGTTGCATTTTTCAAGGAATTTGATTAAAATTGTATGAAAAATAATTGACATTCATTCTGCGATGAGTTTTATTATTATTCTGAAAATAATTGAATTATTGAAAAAAAACTTATAAAAAATTTGTAAATATTTGAATTCCTGTGAAATTTTTATTATTTATAAAAATAATTAAAATGTTTGCGTACAATTTTATTAAAATAATTGTTTTTAAATAATTCAATTCTTTTGGGTAATTTTATTAAAATATTAGATATTAAAAATCATTCAAATAAGAAAAATTTTTGAAAATAATTGAAATTTTGACAAGAGTTTTATTAAAAGTTTTGAAATTAATTGAACTTTGAAGAAGAATTTTTTTACTTATTTATAAAGATAATAATTGGGATTTTGTCGAGATTTTTTTGGAAATTTTGAACATAGGGTAAACCAGACAGAAGTCGGACACTTTTCAATTTTGAATAGCTATAAAACCGCATGAGATAAAAATATTTTGTTTGTTGCTAATCATTTCTATAAGGTGATCATAAACAAATCTAAGCTTTTGTAATTGAAAAAAAAATTTTTGTACGGTTTTTGAAAGCTTTTTTAAGTGGCTGATTACTGTCGGTTTAGGTGGCCGATTACTGTCTGATTCTTACTTGTTTGTTTACTAATTTTTTAACGAATAAAAATTTTTTTTTATAAACATGATTTGTTTAATAATTATATCTGTGTGATCGTAATAAGGAATAACATCACATGAAAGAATTCGAAAAAATATGAATTGCACTTTTAAAACAGTGTTAATTAAAAAGATTGCTTCAGGTGGCCGACTACTGTCAGATTCTTACCTTTTTTTGTAAATTTTTTTAACGAATAAGAAATTTTTTTTTGTAAATATGATTGGTATACTAGTTTTGTAGGAACATTAGAAACAATTACACATGGAAGAAATTTTAAAACAATTTTAATTGTAATTTTTAAGCAGTATTCATTAAAAAGATTTTCTTAAGTGGCCGACTACTTTTGTCATTAAAAAAAATTGAAGGTTTTGTATTAGAATTCGTGATAATTCTTTTTAAAATTGCAACAAACTTTTTCAAGTCCAAAGCAAGGACATAATCACAGCGGACAAAACTTATACGGGAAATGATGCTAAAAAATGTAATTTACTAATTCATATTCATC